TTTGGCGCTGCAGGGGCAATAGCACAATAAACTTCAATAACTACATATATTCAAGAAGGATTGCTGCAATACATGCTCTTCAAAGATGCCATGTTTGTGCCTCCAAGATCGTGCAGCACCAGTCCTTGCTGACAAATATTGACTTGCCTTAATGATGGCGCACGCAAACTCAGTAATCTAGTTTTAAGTGTTGGCTGGATGCAGGGTAGGTCAGATTTACTGACGCACTGCAACGAACCACTCTGCATACCTAATTTTTGAATGCAAAATAAGGGTGAATGTGTAAATTACATGGAAGACCATCAACTTTGCTCACTCAAGACTTTGCGAATTTGATGTCTGCTGAAACAACACAACAGTTTATTTCTTGCATGTATGTGTACACTTCGTGTGTGAAGTTTGACTGGATTGGAGCATTGGTCATTGCCTCATGACGCCACCAATACCAGAAAAAAGCACCAAATGACAATTTTGATGACGCATATATGCGTTTCATCAGTGTTATGCATGCTAAAAACAAGAAAATAACTCAAACCCGTAAATTGCACACTTTTGAACACGTGTTATGAGGCCCAGTCTTTCGTTGTGCATCTTTCCAGTGCTTAGTGCCAAGCTGCGGCACATCACCACAGAATCGATGCCTACCAGCGGTGCATGATACACTGGCTGTTCCTTCCCCAACAAACACTGCGTTGCCGCAACCAAGCGAGAGGCGGTGGCTGTGCCACGACCTGAAGTCCACGGAGGCATAAGCGCACATTGCTTCGCCACCTTCACATCAGTCGCCAAAAAACCATGGTAGTTCCATCGTGCAGATGGACAAACGCTAGGCGCCAACTTATATTTCTGCATGTTTCCTTTTTTGTGCAAGCGCACTTTCAACGGGATGGCGCACCTTATCTTTTACGTCGACCGTTGCATGCTCCCGAAGCAGCGCATTTAGACAGTCGATTTGGCCCCAGTCGGCAGCCCAATGGAGAGGAGTCTTCAGCTCCTGGAATCGCAACACAGCGGCCATTGCAATATCAGCATGAAATGAACACCACACAGCTTCAAGCTTCAACGAGCACGCAGCAGTCATGATTGCTTTTTGTCATGTGCTGGGTTGGCGGTGACCAGCTCCATTTCATGTGAGCCAACCCTCGAGAAGTGAGTTGCCTGCACTGCAATTTGTGCAAATTTCAGATTCACGAACATTTCTGTGGGAAATGGACACCACCCAGGCCCAGAGAACAGCATTAGTAGCAGTGCTCCAAATGTAAGTACAATGGGAGCATCCAATATCTACTGACGGTGTCCATGCAAAACGCCAAGCAACATCGCCCACAGCCTCCTGGCTCCCCCGCGGCCTGGCGCCATCGTGGGGGAGCCCAACGCACATGCAAAGGCGCCTAGCTATGCGGCTTGGGGGCGGGTCTTGGGGTGGGGTAGGTGGGTGGGTGGGGGTCAGCAGCAATGTATGGCCCAAACGCAGTATGTAATCCATGGATTTTGGTGATCTGATGATGATGGTTTCCATTCACATGTGTGGACTACATATTTCAGCCGAAGTAATTTAGCCGCAGTGAGTAGCCTTAAGCAGGGAAGCAAGCAATCCACGGCAAGTAGGAAACCCAAGGCCGCTGGTTCAGAATTTAGCAATACGACTTTGCAAACCGCACATTATCTTGGGCGTTGATTTTGCCATGGAACTTCTGCATCTGCCTTTCCAGGACACCGACGCTTTGACCCACTGCGACATGAATCTCTGTCCACCTCTTCAGCTGATGGCAGAACACAACAGAGTGGGAATGAGCATCTGCAAAAACAATATTGAAACATGACCGAAATTTGTTGATTACAATAGAACGGTTTGACGTTTTGAAGCTGGGCAGGTTTTGTTATACATCCACTAAATGATTTCTGTACCAAGGACATGGCCAACAGCCACATTTGATAGCCCAGTTTATTCTACTGAATTCCCTAAGATGGCATAGCATTCATGAAATCAGAGAGCTTGGCAGGAATTATATCACGTATCAAATACTCCTACGGGTTAAAAAAATTGAGGAAGACAGCGTCACTGATTGCCACAATGCAGCATACCTTCCTCATTAGGAAAATTGAATGTTCAAAGACTCTTGATTGGATTTGTACATCTCCCTCTTTAATCCGCTGAACAATCTGCCTCGGTAATTTGCCTCGCTTCAGGTACATGCGTTTGCCTTCCTGGGTCCCGCCAGAATGCACATTGGCTGAGACGATCAGTTCCTGTGTCGTTTGACTGCTTTCAACAGTCTCAGTGTCCAACCCCAGCAGCTTGAGTGACTGCAAGTTGTCCAATTCGTCTGGAAATTCCTCCAACTTCTTGCAGAACTCCATGTACATCTCCCTTAGTTGCGACAGTTTCCCAACGTCTGGTGGCAGATGTCTCAACCTTACGCACAATTGCACATCCAAAACCTCCAGGGAGGTCAGGTGTGCCAGCGAAGGCAATTCTTGAATGTGCCCACAGCAAGCTAGAGACAGCAGCTTCAGGTTTTCCAATGTTCCAACGCCAGGGTCTATGAGCTCTAGTTTCCAGCATCCTGACAAATTGAGCTGCTCAAGAAACGAGAGGCAAGAAATGCCATTAGGCAAAGAAATCATGTTATTGCAGGATCCAAGGTCCAAGTTTCGAAGTTGACCCACAGCTCTTGGTATGGATGGCAGCTTGTTGAATGTGCATCCTGGTGCGTAGAGGTCATTCAATCGGTGTAAAGTCCATATCGACGCAGGCAGCACACACAGCTGGGTGCAAAAGCGTAGAGACAATACACGTAGCTCACCCAGATCTCCTATTTCATCGGGCAGCCCTGTCAGCTTCTTGCATGCATCAAGGCGGAGAATGTGGAGCTTCTTGAGACCAGACAATTGTCCTGAAAGTGTTGCCACCAGGCTGAAGCTCATATCCAACACACACAAATGTGTAGCACAGCAGATTGCTGCAGGTACACGTTTCAGGTGAGTGTTCTTAAGAAGTGCGACTTTTGCCCTTGGTAGCTTCATGTCAGATGGCAAACCTTGCAACTTCGTCCCTGAAATGGACAGCTCAGATATCCTTGTGCCTGGGGACCTAGACGCAAACGCCTCTTGAACGAACTGGCTGCTGTCTACCCAATACCACAGGCTTGACTCCTCAGTTCTGATGATATACAAAGCCAGTTCGTGCATAATGCGATGCACATAACATGTCCTTGCAAGGTCATCTCGGAAACCTGCTGAGTGGAATGCAAGATGGATATCCTGTGACTGGAACCCACATGTACCAACTTCGTCGATTTTGACCAAAGAAGCCATTTCCAAGTGCTTCAATATACCACAGGCCTTGTCCTCGGAAATGCCATTGATGGAAGACATCCATATTTCCACAACATCGGACACACGCTGACGATAGCAAGGGGGAATTGATCCAAAGTGCAGAAAACATTGCTTCTGGCAAGCATCAAGATCATCATAGCTGAGTTTCAAATGACCAAGCACTTCTCCTACCATATCCCCGCCATCATTCCCACCATGTTTCAGTGTACCGCTCATGGATCTAAGGACTCTTCTCCACTCCGACCTTTTCTCGGGGTTCCAATCGGACACCAAGCGGCCTCTCAATGCAAGCAAAACTGGTAGGCCCTCGCAGCTGCTCACCACCTTGTTCAGGTCACCTTGTAGCAGGCGCATATCCTCGGCCATTTTCTTGCAGTTGCCCATTTGTGTGAGCTCCTCAGGAACATTGCCCCCAGTCAGTTGCTTGTACAATTGTACCTGGCATTGGGCTATGCTGGGCCTCACGGTCAACGTCACGAAAAAGCGCCTCGCAAACCTGCTGGCAACTGCCGCATCATTGAAAATGACACTTGCCAGCAACGTTTTGCCGGCCCCGCCCATGCCATGAATCCCAATGACGCAACGGGAGTCTTTTTCAACGTTCGGTTCCGTGAGCAATATCTTGTTAATTGCAGCGACGTGCTTTCCCATTCCAACTATGTATTCGGGAATTCCAGGGCACTGAATCTCTGTTGACGCCACCTTCACAGCAATTTGTAGCAAATCCATGTTAGTTCACAAAAATATCCACCGCATTGTCAAAATACTCCTCGTGCATTGCTGCAAACCGATGTACACCAATATTTTGTTGAAATTATGAATATATGAACCTCAAGACAGCTCTTGTCCCATTATGCGCGCATCCTGTTGCATGCATGCAAAATACGTCGTGCTGCCAAAGCAGTTTTGTTAGCAGAGCAAAACACTTTCTCATGGTTTCTCGTCGGAAAACCATTGTTGGTACTCAGGTCATTCTTAGGAAAACTTTCTATTGTAGAATGTCCAGCCACGCCATTTTCATGATCTGCCGAATTCGTTAGCTTGTGCGCATCAGCCGAAACTTGGTATGCACAAGCTTGGACACAAGAATCTGCTTAAATCACACGTGGTATTGGACATCATAAATTGCACGACCTGGGCAGGTTATCTCAGCTTAACCAATCGGTTGATCTTGCTGCACGTGGTGTGAGAGCGCGGTGAGTGCTGTAATCGATATCTGCATCACCTCTACCGTGTTGGGAAAGTTTTGCGAGCTGTCTAATTCTCTTTCTGGTTCTGCACAAATAGATGCAATCATAGCAGGAAACAGCTAATATTTTCCTCAATTTGAATGACCCGAATTGCTCATTTGATATGGCTTTCTCAGGGCAAGCAATAAACTCACAAACTTTCATAAATTTTCATGTACTGAAGCACAGTTTTGTTCAACGGCACCTTCTGAGGCGAACTGTTCTGGGTTTGGTAGTGTTGTTTTTGTCACAATATCGATTTCTATCGCAAGTTTCCTATATTGGACAGAATTATACATTGGTTCCAAATTGGTGAAAAAGCAGTCGCAGCATGCAAAGTGCATAACAGTCGTGCCAGTGATAATGGCCAAGAAATCTCCGCGCATGAGCGGAATGTGCAAAGTCGAGAATTAGCGCCATGTGATTGATTACCGTGTACGTCTTTTTCGTCCAGAAACAGATCTTGCCGGAAAGATATGTTCCAAGAGCTCCCAGAAAGAACAAGATTCCAGCGATCTTCGTGATAATCTGCGCGATGATCTGCACGATGAAACACGGTCAATTAAATTCCTCCAACATTTGTGGCATGCGCGTCTCAGCTGCGTTCCTTTGGACGCAAGTACCTTTAAAGAAAGTCAGAGATTTTCATCAAAACGCCACCGTTCCCATCTAATCGACGTGGCATTCGCCCAAGCGAATCCGTAGGCACTGCAGACACTCTTTCTGCATGAGTCCCCACGCACACACGACAAGGAGAGCGCGTCTTGGAAGCACTGACATTTGCGACTGTGCTGAGATGCACAGCATCAAAGCCAACGAATTAATTCGTTCAAACGTCTTGAAACTTTAGAATTAGGGAATAAATGTATCGCATGAGCTTTCACTTTCAACTGCTACCGCCCCAGAACTGGTGGTGTGTCTGGCCGTTGCTGCGATTACCGTTGGATGAATTTTTCGTATTTGTGCCTCCCTGAATGTGCCTCCTCCTGAAGCGCATGTGACTTTCTGTTGTGTTGTTTCCACCTGGACTGGGTAAACATCTCCTGGACAGCTTCTTGATGTCACTTCCTCGATCCAGGGATAGAACGCGCTGATACTGGTGTAAGCAGCCCCGGTGTCGATCTGTGTGCAGCTGTTCCCGAGAGAAATTATCCCGACTATGACATCATTTTCAGGCCTGCCGTCACATTTGTCCCCATCAACGCCTTGAGAAAGAACGAGAGGTCCTCCGGAATCACCTGACAGTCACAAGCAAATGTCACATTACAACACACTCGCTCGCTGGTTCTGTGTGAACCATGCACAAAGTGCAACTTGACGGATGGCACTGAATCATATCATGGCTCAGGGTCCATTTCCGAAGATTTTGAAAACTTATACTGCCTACAATCCTGCAAATTCAGGTGTATTCAGCGGAAGAGATGCAATGTTGTACCTGGGCAGACATTCTGGTCATGTGCATACGCGCAAATCATGTGGGGCTTCAGATACGGCTTCAGCTTTCCAGGGCAATGCTCACGAGAGATGATCCGCAATTTCGCCTTCTGAAGCACTCCTGTTCCTCCGTGACCCCAGCCCAGAGCCACCGCAGGCGTGCCGTGGCCAATTGGTGAGCTGCTTTGATAAAGCACAGGAAAGGGGACGCCGCCCACGGCCCTCGACAGTCGTACGATTGCAATGTCAAAACCATCTACTACGTCCCCATTCCACTCAGGATGACGTGTCAAGGATGTCGCCCTCACAACCTGTGCTGAAAAGGGAGTCGTCAACATACAATATTCCATCAAAATATGACAGTGATTGCACCTGCTGTGTACTGACAGTGACATGTACTGACAGTGATATGACAGTGACAGGTCCATCATTGAGAGATGGTTGCATGACTATAAAGGGACATGCCTGTCCGCGACCTGTCTGTAACTCTGTACCCTCAGCTGTGTCCCCAAGCCCGTGGCTGTGCCTGCCTCCGATATAGTCCCTCTCCGAACCTAGCGTAGGTTGTGGCACCCGAGGCAGGGGTGGGATTGCAGGACTATACGGCCGTGTGGCGTGGTCTAACGCCGAGGCGCACGCGAGCGTTGTACCACCTCACACTGTGGTGCGTTGGAGTGGCGACGTGATGAATAGTCTCCAGCGATGGACATGGAGCGGTCGCACGAGAGCCAAGATGAGCGCAACGAAGGCGTGGCTGAGGGCGGTGGACAACACGCGGGTCACTTCCGTCAACACCACGGCTGTGCGTTCACTGGAGTTATGATGGCAGAGTTGATATAGGCCAACACAGCACCGTCGAGCAGTGATGGGCGAGTGTGAGCCACGCCTTTCGTTGGAAGTTGTACCCTGAGTGGATGACCTGTCACACTGCAGCGTTACTGCCGTGTCAAGCAAGTACATGGTGGAATATGAGCGAGGCCCACATGGCAATTCCAATGCACTGGGCAGGGCATTGTCTCTGTTGTTAGGGGCGCGCACCGAGGGCCGATGGGTCAGCTTAGGTTCGAGTTGCTGAGGTGCCCCGTGGAGGTGGTGAGGTTCGCCAAGACGTGTTGCTCTTGAATTTGATGGTTTCCTTTCCGAATATGGTCTCTTTCCATGGATTCTTGAGCTGATGCTCTGGTTCCTGATGTGTTCCTTTGAGACTGGTTTGCGTGTTCATGTTCAAGGCCCCGCATATGATGGCTGGCCAAGTGTTTGATGGATTCCTGAGCTGATGCTCTGGTTCTTGATATGTTCCTTGTGATGGGTTTGTGCTCGCATTCAAGGCCCCCGCACATGACGGCTGGCCAAGTGTCTGAAGTTTTGAATGTCTTCTTGATGATGGTTTCTACCAGTTTCCTGGTTCCCTTGGTTTGCTTGGTTGAGGCGATTACATGTCAAGGGCGATGCTCTATGTGTGTTGGGGGCCAATGATATGACAGTGACTGGTCCATCGTTGAGAGATGGCTGTATGACTATAAAGGGACATGCCTGTCCGCGACCTATCTGTAACTCTGTACCCTCAGCTGTGTCCCCAAGCCCGTGGCTGTGACTGCCTCCGATATAGTCCCACTCCGAACCTAGCGCAGCACTTGTACTCTTGGTGGGAATTGAAGCGCATGCATCACGATTTCGCTGTGCCCATGAACCTTCAATCGGTGACTTGTCCACAAATCGTATGCGGTATTGGATTCAGTCAACAAATTGACTATCGCACAGGTGTTGCAGCACTGAAGGGATGTGCGAAACTGCATTTCATGGATTTCACTGCCCACATCAGAGGGTAGAGATGCAATGTTTCAATTTTCTGAAGATCTTCGGTGGCGCACGAAACGCTAGCCCCAACATTGTTGAAGGGAATGTAAAATAAGCCTCATAATGTCTGAGAAGCTGCATGAAGGTGATCGTTTACCTCCATTATTCCGGAAACCAAGAGTTCAACTAGCAGACAATGTTCGCATTGCCGTAAACCAAACCAACTACAAACAGGGCATGCCCTGCAGCGCGAAGCCATGCACATGGCTTCACGTAGCACCACATGAGCACATCAATCAACCAATGAATGGGCCAGTTTGAAAGCGCACCTGCACCCCAGGGACACTGTGGTCATCGTGGATTCCATAGGACCCAATGTGCACAAGCGGTTGCGGCCCCACGTCACAATGGGCAGCAGTAAGGACGTGGTACCTATCGATGACGACTCCCCCACACTCATCCTGGCCCCGCACTCTGGCAATGTACGGGAAACGGCCTTTGGGAGCATCTGTGCCTCCCTGAAGCACCGCGCATTAAAGACAGAATTGAGGAACTACGCCAGGAGAGCAACGACACTTGAACAGCTGCACCAAATTCAAAACAAGTGCATCATGCCCAAGCGCTTGGAAAAGGCCTGCATGCCAAAAGCAACAATTTGCCACAGTAGAAAAGCGTCGAAGTCAATGACCTTTCAATCGGACCCATCTACACATCGTACAAGACGAGCCAAAAGGCTAGTGGGAATATGGAAATGCGTAATCACGCAGCTGCTTCAGTTCATGCGGCAACACACTCATGTCCTCTTTGGATTTTCCTTCTACCAAGATACAGTTACTGACATTGAGCAGCATGAAGCCACAAGGGCAGATTGACTGTGTGGCACCCAACTTTAAGAAATTACAGGATGCACAGAAAACCAAGCACAGGAACAGTGGAACAATCTAACACATGACCCTCTGCCTCATAACGAATTGTTTTGTCCAGAACAAAGCTTCAATCTAGGCCCATAGTACTCTAGATCTGCAGTATTGACCAATGGATGGGCGCAAAAACTCAACTGAATAAAGCAACAATGCCTGCACGTAGCCTACTGAAGAGATACCAACTTACCTTCACGAGCGCACGAGGCTTGCTCTCTTGGCTGTTATTGCCATTGCTCTCTTGGCAGGATATCACTGCAAACAAGACAGGATCTTCAATTCCCCCGCAACCAGATATTTAGTGGTGGCGACTCGAAAGCTGCAGAATGAGAGGATTGCAGAAAGGCCATGTAGTACATATATACTTCGTATCCAGTCTGAGAAATTGCAGAATGAGTGTCACCAGAGGAGGCAGTCCAGTTTGTACACCTATCTCTCCAAGCAAAGATTTTCAGTGAGATTCCACGCATGGCCAGCTGGGACAGTCTGACCAGGCTGTGATTACACAGAACACAATCAACCTAGCTATGGTGTTGCTGCGAATTCATGCCAGGGCTGAAAAATTTTTAGATTCATGATCAAGGTAACAGTACGTGCAAGCCACCACATAATGTTCCTGATTTTGCTGAATTCTCAGTTAAACTCCTTTTAGAAAAATGTACAGAAGATTCTGCGCTTAGCACCTTCGCCTTGAGGTCATTTTGGCCAAAAGCATGCTGCTGGAAAATTGGCCCTGGCTACCTTCAGAGGTCTCATTTTGGTACATCAAAATGAAATCGTCTGGAAGCTGCCAAACATGCATCATTTTTCACCCACTTTGTTGGGACAGTGATCCAGGAAACCAACTCATGGAATGTGCAGTTTCAAAGGTATCCCAAGTCAATCTGAACACAGAGTACCATGCCACCTAAAATGTGGTTTGGCCTGCTCATCTTGTTGAATAAAGGCAGGTGTAGAAGGCCCACACAGCCCTGAAAAGCTGGTACAAGAGCAACAAGTTGCAGTGGCATTCCCTATTATAGCGCCCCCAATGGTGCCCACTTTCTGTCAGCATTTCTGTAGTAGTTTATGCTGCTTTGTTGCACAGTGGGACCTGTACATCATACATTGGCAGCCAACGTACCCCCTACAATGGCGGCCAGGGTACTCCCGATACTGTAGCCAGTGTACCCTCTACACCAGTGGCTAGGGTACCCCTTGCACTGGCGGCCATGGCACCCCCTACACTGGCGGCCATAGTACCCCCTACACTGGTGGCCATGGTACCCCTCTACCCGGCAGCCTACGATACTCCCTACACGGGCGGCCAGGGTACCCTTTACACCGGCTGCTTAGGGTACCTTGCTTAACACAACAGTGCCCCTGGGCACCAATAATGCCCCCTTTTGGCCATGTCACAAGGGGGCGCTACATAGGGACCCCCTACTGTACACTTATGCAATAAAGTGAATATCACAATGAGGCGCGAAAATTCAACAAGGATAGTCCATGGCCCTAGACAGCACCCTTGCTACTGAAATATCAAGGGCCTCTGTGCTAGTTGCACAATGCAGGATTTGATTGTGTGACCAGTGATACCTACCTCCATCGCAACTCAGACCGCACTGGTGTTCAAGTTCGGTATCTGTCCTCCTCGCGGCAGTTGCAAAGAACAATGCAACGAAGAAAACAAGAACAGCTTTGGTGGCCATTTCATTCATGGCGCAGGGGGTCAATGCTTGGGGTGATGTCATGGAGCAGCCCATGTACCTGTTATGACACAGCAAACTTCTAAGAACTTTGATAAATCGCCTCAAAAGGCCTTGGCACAAAGTTGGGTGCCTGGCTTTGGAAACCAATTAATCGCCATGTGTCAGTGAATCCTCACCTGCATGGACAAACCACAATGATCACGAGATCGTGGGCAGCTAAGGAATCTCCCAGCATAAGCCACTCATAGCAACTGTCCGGGATTACGCATCCACGGCTATCAATACAGATTTTCTGACGGGAAAAGAAGTGTTTGATGCCCCAAACTCTAGCTCATGCATGTGTTGATAAACAGGCAACAGGCATGCACGTTCTTCCATTCCTGATCTCAAAAATGC